TAGGAAGTTGTATTAGTCCTGAGTGTTGCTGATTAGTTAAGATTTGAAGTTTCTCATTGTAACAAAATTAGTTATTTAATTCAACTGCTTGTTTAGCTGTTGCTTTAAAAAATTAATAGCCTTACCTCTTGTAGGCTGGTAAAGTCAAGAGTACACCAAATAAGCAGCGTAGATGTAGAAACATTCCGTTGCAATGTATCCGATTTTAAAATGTTGCTTTGATCTCCAAGAATGGAAGTACGAGTATACTTCCATTCACACACGGTTAGGAAAATTGGTCAAAACTAACACCAGTGATGATTTTGAGTAAATTTGAGAACCTAAACTACAGGTATCATTTATGCCGAGTCAGATGTAAGAGTTTATTTTGCATGTAATCAGGGATGCAGTCCAAGTCACAATGCTGTGAAGCAGATTAACATACAAATGAGTAAGTTATTTATTTTGTTTTTCAGTGATGAGCAGAAATTTAAGCCCTGGCCCTCCCAAGGCAAACCCAAAATTCACACTGCAGGTGACAGAGAATCATTTTGCTTCACCTGTGGCTGTTCAACATATTATTTGAACCACACAGATTCATAGCAAGAATTAACAACAGCCTCTCCCAGGGCCATTGCTTTCTCAGCCGAACTATATATGCAACTACTATGGTGTGGCTGTCCTTTCCTAGCTTGGGCAAATACCTTTGCCCTACTGGAAACACAATTTAGTATTATCTTTTTCTTTTTAAGGATTTTTCTATAGTTGGTTAATTTTGGCATCCCCAGCAACAGATGTTGCCTTGTCAAGAAGTTTTGTTTCTTAAAGACCAAGACTTCAAACTACAAAGCAACGATGCTGTAAGAAGAAAAGAAAAAGATCTCTATTGCAGAGGAAGGGATCTATATTCTCTCAACGACTGTTATGAGTAATAAAAATGGATTTATTGGCTGAAAGGGAAGCACTTTTATGGCAGCCTGTGTGGTATAGAAAAAAACCAGAATTAGACTGAAAAAGAAATTCAAATTCGTTTAATGGATTAAAAGGCAATGTTGGCTTTATGGTTTGTTTTAAGGATAATGATTTAGAGTTTGAAATAAGAAAAATATAATTATATACATGTGTGTTTAAATTAATTAGATGGGGTTTTTTTGTTTAAAAAATATATAATCATATTATATGTTTAAAGAGATTAAGAATGTATTTTTTGGAATACTAAATTGATTTTGAGAGAAATTATGTATTGGAATTTAAAAAAACATTGAAATAATGATTTAGCGTTTGTAAGAAAAAAAATATAATTATATACATGTGTGTTTAAATTAGTTAGATGATCTTTTTGTTTAAAAAATATATAATCATATATATATACATATATGTTTAAACAGATTAAAAATATATTTTTTGGAATAATAGATTGATTTTGAAGGAAATTATGTATTGGAATTGAAAAAACATTGAATTTTTTAGACTGGAACTCTGAAGTGTTTAAATTAACTAGGTGATTTTTATATACAATAATATGGTCTGATAAGATATGACAAGTAATTGGATGCAATTTGAAGTTGGTCTAATAAATGGAAATAAATTAAGATTTAACATTTTTATTTTTTTATTTTTAACTAAGTAGCTATTGGAAAAAGAAATAAATGAGATTGGTGATAAAAAGAGAGATGAGAGAGATTAAGAGTTTGAATATATTTGGAAGAGATATTTGAAGTGATAATTTGTTGAAGTAAAATAATATTTGATTATGGTAATTGTAAACTGATAAAATTTTAAAACAGGTTTAGTTGGATAGAAATTTAAGCTAGAAATGGAACTTATTAAATCTATTATGCCACTTGAGGGAAACAGAGAGATGATAATGAATGTATTAAGTGGAGCTGTTTATGCATGTTTTTACTTTGGAATGTTTGTTTGCCCAAACACTACGGTGTGTCTTAAGTACTTTTTGTTAAAGTTGAAAAACCAATAAAATATATTTTTTTTAAAAAAGAAGAAGTTTTGTTTCTTCACCATCTCTCTGGTTTTGAATGCACCTCATTTCCCAACCTTGAAGAAAAAGAAGTAAAATCAATCAATAAACGGCTGAGTGATAGCAGGGGAAGGGAATGAGCGGAACCGGTGGCAACACCGCACACACCTGAGCGAGATGTGGCTGGAGCTGCAGGGCTGTCAGGGCTCAGCGGAAGTGCCAGGATCAGCGCCAGGCTCCAGCTGGAGCTCGGCGCTGATTCTGGTGCTTCTGCTGAGCCCAGAAGAAGCGCCAATCAGCTGGAATTTGCAGCATCTCCAGGGTCTTGTGATTTACATTCAGATTATTGGCAACTGATTCATATTTATGACGGTCACAGTGTCCCAGGATCATGTGAAATAACCAAAACCTGTTGCAACCACCCAGCAGAGGGGGGGGATAAAAACCAAACACCCCCCACCCCATCCCCACTGCCAATCCTCAACAGAAATGCTCACACCAATGGAAACCTCAGACAGGAGGAAGAGCACCGCCGGGTGGGCAGGCAGGTGTCTTGCTCGGCTGTGGCTTGGGGGGCACTTTTTTCAGTGCCATTGTAACTTCGAACAGTCATTAAGCAAACTGTTGTAAGTCGAGGACTATCTGTACTTTATCATTTTGTTCCTTTTTTGTTGTTGTTGTTCATTAAGTTTTTGACATCTTGCTAGGCGACTGGTGGTATTTGGATATTGCCATATCCTAAAAGTGGTACAATGGGTGAAAAGGTTGACAAGCCCTGCTCTATTATATAACCAAGGAGATGCGTTAGAATATTTCCATTCATACAACAGAGCCAATATGTTGCTCTGGGACAAAAATCAATTCAGCTAGAAGCACCATCTTAAGCATTAGTACCATATAATGTTACACTTCTAATCAAACTTCTCAGTACATTCTATTGACAGACAGGTACATTTTATCAAGCATTGTATCAATAACCAAAAAGAACTCATTATAATGAAGGCTTTCATGTATTAAAACCCACTGTTCCTATCTCATCCTTCCGTGGCTTGTTTTGCAATTATCTTGCTATGCACTTCTTTGTTGCGAAAAGAAAATATTATCTTCTTGTTGCTGCTTTGTTGAGAGCAATAAAAGCCAGGTAACATATAACTGAGAAGAAAGAAGTTCCATTTCTGCCTCTCTTCCCTAGGGTGCTGCTATGCGATCGCCAGGAATCTCGGCCCGGTGAATGGATGGCCAGGAAAGCCCTAGGAGTGGTAGCCCATTTCTTTCCCACGTATATGTCTATCCCTGTCACAACAGTGGCCCGAGCAATGGCCAATCTTGCAGTGACTTTTTTCAGTGCCATTGTAACTTCGAACAGTCACTAAGCAAACTGTTGTAAGTCGACGACTATCTGTACTTTATCACTTTTTTCCTTTTTTTTTTCCTTTGGTCATCAAGTTTTTGACATCTTGCTAGGCGACTGGTGGTACTTGGATATTGCCATATCCTAAAAGTGGTACAATGAGTGAAAAGGTTGAAAAGCCCTGGTTTAGACATTTTGTAGCTCTGAATCAGTGAAAACTGCTAAATCCTGTCAGTGCTTCCAATTAGAATGCTAATCGGAAATTTTATTTATTTTAAAAAGTCTCATCTGTGCAAGCATAGGCTCTTAGTAAAGGGGAAGGTTTTTTCCCCCAGAATGCAACTCTTTTCTGGTTCATTAAATTAAACCAATCTTTCTAGTATCCATGGGACCTGCCTGGTTACTTTAAAACAAAGTGGTCTCCCCTGAGAACTTATAAATAAGTTTTCTTTCCCCACATCCTACCTTATGTTAGAAACTTCCTCAAAGTTTTAATAAGGCCCTTGGTGCAGTCACATATAGTATGCTTTTGTAAGGGAACATCTTGCTAATAAGCTCTGTTATATCAATTCTCTGGATAGACAATTGTTATTTTTAATGAGAAGACAAGAAAGTTCTTATGTGTTTTGGACTGGAGATGGTTGAGTAGCTATTTTTTTCCATAATAATTGTATTAAAAATTACAATAAAAAGATAAAATTAATACAACACTAAGAAAAGAATAAAAATAAAAAACAGAAAGCCCAGACAGGGAAAAGGGAAGAAAAATAGAGAAGAAAAAAAGAATATAGTAAATAAAATATGTATACTGTGGGCACAATTATTAGGCAAGTTGTATTTTGGAGGATTAATTTTCTTGCTGAACAACTACAGTGCTCTCAGTCAATCCAAAACGCTAATGAACCTCAAACCTGAATATTTAAGTAAGTGAAAGTGAGGTTTGGGCTTTCTCAGGAGAATGTCTATGTGTGCAGAATTATTGGGCGACTCTTAGTGTGCAGAATTATCATGCAGCTAAATGAAAAACAAAAAATTGCCCATCTCACTCATTTATTTGCATCTGTTAAAGAGAGAATAATAAACAAACAACTCAAAATGTTCAAATAAACATTTCTGACATTTCAAAAAAAAAAAATCAGTGACCAAAATAGCCACCCTTCTTTTCAATAACAGTCATAAGCCTTCCATTCATGGAGTCTGTCAGTTTTTTGGTCTATTGACGATCATCATTTTGTGCAGCAGCAACCACAGCCTCCCAGACACTGTTCAGAGAGGTGTACTGTTTTCCTTCACCGTAAATTTTCCATTTAAAAAGGGCCCACAAGTTCTCAATAGGTTTTAGGTCAGGTGAAGAAGGGGGCCATGTCATTATTCTTTCAACTTTGAGTCCTTTACTGGCTAGCCACACAGTGAAGTACTTTGATGCATGCGATGGAGCATTGTCCTGCATAAAAATCATAGTCTTCTTGAAAGATGCAGACTTTTTCCTGTACACTGCTTGAAGAAAGTGTCTTCTAAAAACTGGGAGTAGGTTTGGGAGTTGATTTGGAGTCTTCAACCCAAAAACTAGCTCATTTTTAATAATACCAGTCTATACCAGTATCCCACCTCCACCTTGCTGGGGTCTGAGTCAAAGTGGAGCTCTGTGACCGTTACTGATCCAGCCATGGACCCATCCATCTGGTCCATCAAGAGTCACTCTCATCTCATCAGTACATAAAACCTTTGAAAAATCTGTCTTCAGATATTTCTCGGCCCGGTCTTGCCATTTCAACTTATGTGTCTTGTTCAGTGGTGGTCGGGTTTCAGCCTTCCTTACCTTGGCCATGTCTCCGAACACTGAACACCTTGTACTTCTGGGCACTCCAGGCAAGTTGCAGTTTGGGAATATGACAACACTGGAGGATAATTTGATTCTTCTCGAATCTTTGGCAGTTAATGTGCATCTTTTTTTCTCAACACGTTTCTTGCAACCCTGTTGATTATTTGCAACAAAACGTTTGATGGTTCTGTGATTGCGCCCCAATATCTTAGCAAATTCAAGTATGCTGCATCTCTCTGAAAGACTTTTTTACATGTTTTCACTTTTCAGAGTCAGTTAAATCTCTTTTTTGCCCCCTTTTGCCCGAGGAAAAGAAGCCGCTTAATAATTATGCACACCTTGATATAGGGTGTTGATCTCCTTAGGCCACACCCTCCCACATTACACAAATACACATCACCTGGTATGCTTATATCCATTAAGCATTCAGGTTTATACAGCTTAGAAGTGGAAAATATGGATGAAAATGATGATATGGTCAAAATATTTGCCTAATAATTGTGCACACAGTGTATATGTTTATGTATATGTATATGCATATGTATATATGACATCTCCCTATAAATAATTTTAGTAACTTATTAGAAAGGTAAATATTTCTATGCCAGTTGTGTCCGACTCTAGGGCATGCTGCTCATCTGTTTTTTAGCTGAGGGAACCAGCATTGTCTGAAGACAATTTCCATGGTCATGTGGCCAGCATGGCTATATGCCAAAAGCGCACAGAAAGTTGTTACCTTCCTACCGAAGAGGTACCTATTAATCTACTTGCATCTGCATGC